AATAATCCTTTTTTCTCCCACATACCCTAATCTGAGCCTCATTATCCTCATAAAAAGATTTATCTGTTTTCAATAATCTACCACCTAGTCCATACATTTGTAACATCTGCCACATACTTCCCTATGCACCCTATCATATGACTTTTCCAAATCCATAAATTCAGTGGAAATCTCTTTACTCATGTCTAAATACTCATATGCTTGACTCACGGAATCGTAATGACAAAATTGTAAACAAACCATACCACAGGTGGGGAATGAACTCGTGGCGAGTGAGTTGTAAAACTCCAGGCCAGCATGTAAGCCACTATACAAGCTGGCTACAATAAGATTCATCCAACTAAGTATATTTATACACCATAGAGAGGTTAGCACAGCTGGCCAAGTGCCTTACGCGCTGGCCTAGAGTTTTACTACTCACCACGAGTTCAATCCCCGTCCGTGATATGGTTAACTCATATGCTTCGTTGTAAACACCTGGTCTACACTTCCTGTATCCTTCCTAAAGCACCCTTATTCAACTGCGATCCTGTTCTTAATTCATTCAAATGATAACTCTACCATACACCTTACCAGGTATACTTAGTAGCCTTATTCCCTTACAGTTATTGCATTCTTTTGTCCCATTTGCCTTTACATAAAGGAAGAATGCATCCTCTCTGCCGCTCTCAAGGTACCTTCTTTGATTTCATACATTTTTTTAAATAAAAGCACCAACCAGTTGTTTAGGTATGGTAAGAATGAAGAACTCAAAAGAAACACTGTATACAAAACTCAATAAGATCATCAACTAGAATGAAAGGAACACGTGAAAGACTTGGGAATAACTATTTCAGCTGACCTTTCTTTCAAAGAACACAATAAGGCAAAGGTCATGACGTGGTGGGTATTGAGAACCCTCAAAACAAGGGAAATAATGCCATTGATGACACTTTTCAAATCGCTAGTGCTCCCTTCTGTCTATCTCTGATAGACAGAGCCTAAACAAATACAGACATCGTTCATGGCCAGCACATAGCCAATAAAGCATTTAAATTACTGGAAATACCTTGAAGTCTTGAATATGTACTCACTGGAGAAGAGGAGAGAGATACATCATAATATATACTCGAGGGTCTGGTCACAAATTTGCACACAAAAAATCATACTGGAGCCAGAGATAAGTTCAAAATAAACCCAGTGAAAAGCAGGGGTGCAGTGGGTACAATAAGAGAACACTGTATCAATATTCGTGGCCCCTGATTATTCATCTTACCAGAAGATATCAGAAACAATGCTGGAACAAGTGTAGAAGTCTTCAAGTGAAACTGGACAAGTATCTTGACCAGGTGCCAGATCAACCAGGCTGTGATGGATATGTGGGGCAGCAGGCCTCCAGCAGCAACAGCCTGGTTGACCTGGTTAGAACCAGACTAGGCTGGCCCATGGCCGGACTCCGGGAGTAAAAAGACTCTCGAAACTCATCAAAGGTATAAAAGCATAACCGTTTATACCTTTTATACCACCTTTTAACACTACTGTGTTCAGCTCATCCGTGCCAGCTGCCACTACCTCAGGTATGTCCCCCACATTTACAGCTGGCTCTTCCTCACTCCTAAAAGATGGTATACTTCTCTGGTCATTGCATAAAATTGTTGCTTCCTTCTATTCATCAACATTTAATAGTTCCCCAAAATATCTCCTCCAACTTCCCTTTACTTCTAACTTCCAATCTAATAACTCTGCTCTTCTGTTTTTAATTGTCAAATCCATTCGTTGCCTAATCTTTCTCAACTTATTAATCTCACTCCAAAGCCTTTTCTTATTCTCAGGAAATATTTGTTGACAAAGACTCACCCTCTGTTATGTTGTTATGTCTTATTAATTTGATATTAAGGTTCTCACTATATGTTCTAGTGTGGGGTAGCTTTTTATTTAATGGCCTTATCTGTCTAGGGTAATACATACATCATGACTGATCATCCTCAGTGTCTCTGATATCCTTTCACCAGACCTCTTCACAGGTTATTTAAACTACTACTATAAAAATATAACTGTATTCTAAATAGACATGTACACAATATACAATTACAGCACTCACATATTCAAAACATAAGTCTACACACCCCTTAGCTGCTCTCCCACATGGTGCATCTCAGCAACTTTGCCCTTCTCTCTTCATGACTAATCTCTGGGCTAACCAGTGTTTTGACACACTTTAGTCACCCTGGGTATGGTGGCCACAACTTAACTTATAAAAACTCACCCCTGGGGCACACATAATGCCCCCAAAAATGGAAAGGAGGACCCAGAGGTCCTGCCAACTTGAAGTCAATAAACACAGAGAGAGAGAGAGAGAGAGAGAGAGAGAGAGAGAGAGAGAGAGAGAGAGAGAGAGAGAGAGAGAGAGAGAGAGAGAGAGAGAGAGGGAGAGGGAGAGGGAGGTGACTAGCTAAGCTCCTCTCACACCCACCAAAAACAAAAGACTGTTGCCAAGTACAATTCTTTAGTTACCACAACTCTCCCACACCTTAATTTAATTCTACAAAAAGAAATACAACTTTATAAACTACTTATTTAAATTGTGTGTTTGTGTGTCTATAGTATAACCTATTATATTGAGAAAAACAGGCTTGACTCAGCTGCCTTACAGCCATAAGAGTGATCTGCCCTTATGACATTTAGAGCCGAGTCCCCATCAATTCAATATAATTAGGTATTCCAGAGTAACTGTTACAGATACATAAATACATGTTGGGTCCTATAGCCCCATAACACCCTCTCTCTCATTTCCTCTCTTTTTTAACCTTTCTTAATCTCTCTCTCTCTCTCTCTCTCTCTCTCTCTCTCCATATACTCCTCCCTCCTTATATCACTTCTGCTTTGTAAAAACCATAACTGGTGGCAAGTTATTGTGTGTTGCCCACAAAATGGTATGTACTTGATACACATCACACACACAGTGTACAGTAACGAGCATTATACGTTTGAAGCCGATCGGATGAAGCATTATCGAATTACGAGAGAAGGAAAAACGACGTTAGAGAAAGAAAATAGTTCTGGTAAGCACTTAATTATCCACCTTCGGGGATATCTAGTAATCGAAAAAAAATAACGATGGTAATTGTTTTAATAACACTAAAATTATTGAGATTATTTAATGATAAAGAAAATCGCAATATTTTGAGGATAATGATTACACTGGATTTAAAAAAAATGAATCTCGCTCTGTACTTTCAGTAATAATGATTAAAAATATATTACTAAATATAACGAAATTAATTATTTTAAAGGTAATAAAAATTTACTATTAAAAAAAATAATCGTATTAATAAAAGCTCAGGATCAATATTTATTTCAATAAATTAAATGGTTCCTAAAAAATAAAAAAAATAAAAACAGTGATGTCAAAATGAGTTAGAAACTAAATAAATCTTGACGTAATTTCTAAACTTGTTTAATACTGGTATAATGATTATAAAAAATAGTTTTAAATAGCTTAGTTATATAAAATTCTATTCAGGTATATCTAGTATATCAAGTAAAGTAAATCAACGAATTAAGTATATTTAAAAAAGAAGATTATGATAGAATAATAAATATTGACAATCGGTAATACAAATTTTCCTTTGAATAAAAAAAGAGAGAATATTATGGTTTGTTTGCAATCGTGTCATTACGATTTCGTGAGTCAGTGATACCTAGAGATACCTGGGGAGAGTTCCAGGGGTCAACGCCCCCGCGGCCCGGTCTGAGACCAGGCCTCATGGTGGATCAGGGCCTGATCAACCCAGCTGTTTCTGCTGGCCTCACGTAATCCAACGTATGAACCACAACCCAGCTGGTCAGGTACTGACTTTAGGTGTCTTTCCAGTGCCTTCTTGAAGACAGCCAGGGATCTCTTATGATAATCTCCCTGATGTATGGTGGGAGACAGTTGAACAGTCTTGGGCCCCTGACGCTTATTGACAATGTGTTGACGTTTAGTGATAATTTCGTACCGTTTCCCATCAGTAGATTTTTCACAAATATTTTGTCCATCAAGTTTAAAACAATGATAAAACTGTTTTACTAATGATAAAACAACGTTGTCTCAGCCTGAATAAAAAAACCTGATTATTTTTGGATTAATTTTTTTCTTTTCCTATTGATGAGGTATTAAATCTGAATATGTTAATTCCCAGTTAATCTAACAACGTTGTTTCTTGAATTTCAATAAGGCTATTCTGTGGTCTGCTAACCTGGAGTTTACCTGGAGAGAGTTCCGGGGGTCAACGCCCCCGCGGCCAGGTCTGTGGCCAGGCCTCATGATGGATCAGGGCCTGATCAACCAGGCTGTTGCTGCTGGCTGCACGCAATCCAACGTACGAACCACAGCCCGGCTGGTCAGGTACCGACTTTATCACAAGAAGATCGGCATTCCGATGGGTATTTCTAATGATGGGATCTGGAAGTATTATACCATTGATTACAACAACGTATACTAGGTATTGTTGTTCATTGATC